TGCAGTTCTCATGCAGTCTGACTGACACTTCAGATATTTACTGATAGTTTCAAATTATCCCATGACCGGACGTTGTCCGATCGCACGCAGAGGCCCGGAGGTGGCAGTATACGCTTGGCACGCTCCCCAGGACTTCATCATTCAACATCTTCCCCACCTGATACTGGTGACTCTCAGAGAGACTTGCAGAGGCGCGGCATGTATATACATGCAGCACATGTATGTAAACATGCAGACTGAAACCAGAACTGTAGATTTTTCAGCTCTCAGAAGACTTGTTCCTAATGCGAATCACACGCTGTGAAATCGCTGTGGAGTCGACAAGCTCTACCATACGTTTCGTGTTTTAAACGGGAGCTGTTGGAACACAAGGCTCCTTCCACCGCTAACAGGTTGTTAGTAACCACCACGTCGTAAGAATCCGAGAACCATTGTCCGACACTGGAGACACATGAAAGCAAGGACGTCCCCCAAGGATAAAGGGTCCCTTCTCTCTCTGCATACTCCGTGTGTTATTATGCGCGCGTCAATGGTTCTGAGGGTCACAAAAGCCTGTATCGCAGCGAGCCTACCAAGGCTGCTGCATTTGAATCTCCTGTTGCTCAACCACCTCGAACCGTCACTTACTCACAAAATACTATGTTTCAACAGAATGAAGTATAGCAAGAACGACCATGCGAGCCATGCACTCGTTGTTCAGCTTGCCGAACTATCTCCAATATCGGTGCAATAGTGCTAGGCACCGAGAGCATTTCGGCAGGGTGTTCCAAAAGCATCTCCTAAGCAAAAATAACATGTCATTCGGGATGAGAGTTTCTGCGTCTTTCGTGAACTGTTCAGAAATACAAAAAATAATCTACTAGCTGATGAACAAGCATCACTATAGCCTCATAGAATCGACTAACGCCTCCACTCAACTTAGCGGATCCCCTACTCAGAGTGGAGTCGCAAACTTCTACCCGTTTAAAGATCTTTTCCTAACACAACTACATGTGGTAAGTAACTACTGGTTATCTATGGTGTACCTTCATGTAGACCCAAACTCTTCACTATGAGTTTTCAGAATTGGCTCGATTCCAATCAGAATCATATATACTCTGGCTTCATAATCTCCACAGGCTACAAGGCGCACCTGGATTTTATTGGACTTGTCCAGCGGCACTCCCATAGTCAGTTCTTTATCAGCAAATTGTATCGGCTCAGATGGGGGATATGGCCAATAATACTCCGGCCTGCGCGCAGCGTCCATGAAAGACAGCGTCTTGTATGCTCGCTGAGTGACAACAAGCATTTGCTCTCTCAGAAAACCATTCCCAAGCAAAGTATCACGAATCTCCCTCAAACTTCAAACTGCTCGACTCACTAATAATTTCGGCAACTGGATGTTCATCATCTCATCAACGGCTGCTCGAGACATCTCCCCAGCCCGAGACAGATGATATCCGGCCTGGTCACTGAAATATCCACTGAGCAAGCCGTTATCTGAATGATGGCGCTCTTCACTATGTTCACGATGAGTCGATGGTCATGACCCGAGTGATTCGCATGACGGTGACTCTCCGTATGACGTCCATGTTGCTTGTGGCGAGTACCATGTACATCCTGATGATGCTTATGAGAATGATGACGATGGTGACTGGACTGATGTAGGTGATGATAGGAGGAGTGATGTGCATGATGATGATGATGGTGGTGCATTAGCTCATATCGCATCAGCGGATTCACTCCACAGAACTAGTGATAACAGCAGCTTGCCGCCTGCTATGAGAGACTTCCAAAGCCTTGCGTTCCATATAACACGGTGCGCGTCAACAGAGCCGAGATGAATCTTGCGATGATGTTATCCTACTTACGTCAATACCACAGAGCCCACGAGCATTCAAAGGCACCAGTGCAGTCACATTCAGGATTACATCCTGTTGTCTGAGGAGTGAAACCTCACTTCGATGAGTTAACGTATGCATATAACAATCAGTGACCAGCTTCTACTAAACACTGCGCAACGCTTGCAAACGTCGAGGAACGTTGACATACTCATCAGAGTAATAATAGCTGCCACTTAGTAAACTTTCCTCATGAGGAGGTAGAGACGGTCATCAAGGCGAATAGCCTCGTCCACGTCGCTCCTCTGCGCCTCCAACTTCATCAACAGTCCTCCAAAGGAGACGTATCTAAACCACAACAGTTCACATATATATTCACGAACCATAATTTCTGGTTCTTAAGCTCAAGAAATATTAAATACTAAAAAAATAACAAAATTTTTTTAATAAAAAACACTTAGAACTCTTTCTGGTTTTCATCGCTTCCTTACATGATAGTGCGTGAAGCAACAGTCTCGGTTCCGACAGTCTTATTCATCTTCTTATATACCTGCCAAGACCTGATCTCTTCCCACGCCCCAACCAGAGCTCCCCGCCATCACCTTGCCGTACATAGCATACTCGTAATCATCAATGATACCAGGTTGCGCCGCCTCTCCCTGGTAACCCTCATTGGCGTCAGCGGCCGAGGCAATAGCGATCCGCAACTAATACATCAACAACGGCATTCTCAACAGCCATGACCAAACGATCCCTTTCATCAGAACTACCGTGTCACTGCTGCCGATGGGATAGATCTCAGTGTTGATATCTACCTCAATCTCTGCATTGTAAGTGTGCGACTGTGCCTTTATCCGAGAGACTGACAAAGAACATCTACCTACGCCGTGGAGTTTCGGAAGGAAGTACCCCTGTCGAACTTCTCATCATCAATGTTCTTCACATCAAACATGTCTTCGAATATGGCAGACATAATGCAGTAAATGACCGGATACTACCCAAACTGTATAAAAACACTACTGGATACTGCCTACCACAGGAGAGATCAGAGACCACTGAGAAGTGGGAGAACAAAGCAATTCACCCGCGACCAGATATCACGACAATTCACGATTAGACCCAAACTCGCGAAAGGGAACTTCAAAACGACTCCGTTCAACTCACCATCGTGCG